TCTGTGATTTCACAGATCAGAGCAGAAAAAAGTAAAGAGTTAATTCACTCATGGGACAGAATTGATAAAGAGAAGTTTAGGGACCTCTTTAGGGGTTGCACTTGGCAAAGACTTTTTGAGTTGCCAGCAGTGCCATTTTGTTCAGCCCTTTTTGCATTCTCTGCCTTTCCTGAGCTCTGCATCTCATTGGAATTCTGCTGGAATAACCAAAGGCTTGGGGCTTGTCGGGCCAGGATTTATTTTCTCAGTAATAATCTTCCCTCTGAGTATCTTCTCTCTCAAAGATTTATTCTTTAAACATTGAAGCCACTGCTAATTCCTGCACATTTTCCTAATCACAGCTGACTTTGTTCCATATCCTTTGGTCTGTCATCGTAGATTTTGATGCCTTACAGGTTGTTTTCAGTCTGGGCATGGAAAGTTATGGGTATTTCCCCTGTAAATCTGTTGTGAGAAACGTCACCGTGGCCTTGCAGGTTCTGCGGTGGGTTTGCATCGTTCTGTATAATCCAACACCAGGGACCTCTCGTGTTGGTTCTGGTGACACCTTTATTTGCTCCTCTGGTTTTGGAGAGCTGGGCACACGCCCAGCCCTTCACAGGTGTGTGTTTTGTCTCGCCCTGTGCCAGGTGACTGTGTGTACCTGATGAGGGACAGCCGCAGGACCCCCGACGGGCACCCCGTGCGTCAGTCGTACCGGCTGCTGTCCCACATCAACAGGGACAAACTCGACATCTTCCGCATCGAGAAGCTCTGGAAGAACGAGAAGTGAGTTCAGCACCCACACCCCCCACCTGCCAGGGCACAGGGCTTCCATGGAAGTCCTGTCATGGCTTAAAAAGGCAGGAGTGAGCACGTGGTGTGGGTGCAAAGGGGATTCACCCGTCTCTGCTTGTGCTTGTGGGAGCTTGGAGGTTTGAGGTACAAGCTGATGGGCTTTCCTCAGTGTTGGAGCAGGCTGAGGGTTCCCAGTGGCAGCTGTTGAGGTGGTTCAGTGCCTGTGACAGCAGCACAGTCAGTCACAGCCACAGTGTGCTGTGCCCATGGAAACCACGCCGGGGGTGTTTGATGGGAACAGAAATGAGACACAAGGCAAAGGGAGCCCCAGACATTGTTATGTGCAAAGCAGCAAAGGGATTGTGCTGCTCTGTAACCTCCCAGGGTGTCTGTCTCGTGCTCTGTGCTGCTCTCACATCCCGTGGCACACAGGATCCCACTGGATGAGCAGGATAATCAGATCTGAACCATCTTTTCTGTGACCAAAGCCCTGCCCACCCACAAAGGACTGCAGGGGTGACTCCACTCCCCACCACAGTCATTGCCAAAGTGCAAGAGAGGGAATTCAGAATGGAGGAGGGCATGAAGTGAAGTTGTACCAGGGGCTCATTTCTGTCCCCCCTCCCCTTTCCCCCCCCAGGGAGGAGCGTTTTGCCTTTGGCCACCACTATTTCCGTCCTCACGAAACCCACCACTCCCCGTCCCGCAAGTTCTACCACAACGAGCTCTTCCGGGTCCCGCTCTACGAAATCATCCCCCTGGAGGCCGTGGTGGGCACGTGCTGTGTGCTGGACCTGTACACCTACTGCAAAGGTGAGGACAGGACACGGACACGGCTCCGGGAAGTTGGGCTGTCGGGGTTCAACCCCTGTCCCAGCTCAGAGCGGCCACGCTGGGATGAGGGGGGGGCTGGAAAAAGGTAAAATCCCAGGGGTTGGGGTAGGA